TTTAAATTCAGGTGCTTCTATCAGAAGCACATAAAGGACACATATGTAAGTGATTCATCAGGTAGCTTCTCGAACAGCATTTCTTCCTTCCAGTCAAGGCAACCGAAACCTAGGCGGATGAAGACATCCATTTAACTTCACGAAAAATTTTTCCAACAAAGATTGTACAGGTGGGAGGGCAAAAAAATTGTTAAAAAAACAGTGATATCCAGGAACGCCCACCTGAGAAGTAAGGGAAAGGGTGAAGGAGTAACCAGTCAGCTTTAAACCAGGGATTTATCTGAGCTTTTTCTCCACCCGGAAATCCTGTAAATTCATATTCATAACATGACTACTGTAGCTACAAACAATGCGGAAAATCGAACTGGAAATTGGAAAGATTGGTATGAACACTCGTAAGCCTCAGCCGCTCAACGGACGTATCATTTATTTCCGAAAACAGGGCACGATTACCAGTACCCAAGCTGCATCTGGTTCGTCAACACTCAGCAGTAGCAGCATTGTATTGATGGTGTTATGTGCTCGAGCAATATTGAAGGGTTGCATAGCACATCAGCCGTAATCAGTCCAATGATATGTACTATATCTGAAAATATACATGATTCACGCAAACTGCCAACGTGTTATCGGATTTTTGGACAATTTCTAAAACTCAGCTCGTCTCGGCTCGATTCGGATCGGACCGGTCGCAAGTTACTCTGGCTGTGGGTTGCCCATTGGATGGAGGTAGGCAGTAGAGCTGGATGGTGTAGGAAAGATCGGAGGTGATGGTTTAAGTCTGAGGGATCGAAGTTGTGGGGAGAAGACGGGGATATTGACCGTAGGGGATATTGATCCGGAACGAGATAAAATTCTGCTTGAAGATTTTGAGGCGGATATTATCATGGAGAAGATTATATGATTGTATTTGTCTTTGATGCTCATGAAGAAACCCGATGCTGAGCTAAAGCTGGTAAGCTTGTGTGAGACATCTAATGTCTCATCTAGACAACAAGTCCGGAACTAATGCATGATTGCGAGTTTCGCAGCAGCTAGTACCCAAAGCTATAAAAGAATGCATACTGAGACCGAGTCAGGTCGAGTTTTAGTGATTGATGATTTCTGCGAGAATACTTGTACGGTAAGTATGTGGTAAATTTACAGAAAACGTAAATTTTTTGTGGCTAACACTCTACGTTTTTCTTTCGTTTTTTACAAGGGAAAAATCCTTTAAAAAATATGTTTCGTATTTTGATGCAAACTTTTTATTAGCATTGTGCAGTGCTTTAGCACCATTCTTTGCCATTCGATTTATAGACGGTAAACCGTTCATCGAGTTGTGAATAAACTTATCTACTTATATTCAAAGTTGATGCTGTTGCTACGGAAAGGGGATGAACTGTTCAGATCGGAGACAAGGAATCAATCTAAATTTCCTATGCAATAAGGACTTATTAGGAAACAATCTGTATTTTATCTCTGAGCTATAAACACAGACAGAGCACTGCTAGGATTAGGAATCATCAGTAAAGCAACTACCTTCAACATATATGATCAGCATGTGTTCAATTCCACAAGACTAGAGTAAACAGAAATAAATAGCAACGCGCACCAGACTAGCCGGTGCGATCATGCGTTTTGCGCAATTCAGCCATCGAACGATTGCCTATTAATGATTTTCACTGCTTTGTACTTTAGTCCATGCAAAAATAGTTCAGACATTGAAAAATAATTAAAAATTTCACACACCAGCGCATAAAAGCTGAATTCGAAACCTTGAAGGG